TTCTGATTGGTCGCCAACATTGTCCTCAATAACACCCTAATTGACTACTAACGTTAGATATATGTCTGATGAAAATGTTGTTCATAAAACGTTAGACTATGAGGGCTGAGTTTTAATTTCAAAAGCGTAACAATAATTCTGTCAATCAAAACATTTCAAACGTCTCTAATATATCAATGTTTGAGATTCGACTGATGATTATAAGAGCAAAGACTAAAGAAAATGAGTTTATGCCAAAAACTCTAATTTTCATTTAATATACCTTTGCAACCCGATGTCGTAGACCATTAATATTGAAATATACAAGGTTTAAACCATCAGGTTGGAAAGATATAGGGATTAGTAAATTTGAAAAAAACTTAGCTCCTTTCTGGAGTGTAAACGAGTTTTTTTGTAACATGCTATTAGTGAAAATTCAAATCTTATAAATGTTTCTTGGACATTAAAGTTTTGGATTTGCCATTGTTTGATGAAACTTACTAAAACTCTGGAAAAGGAAGACGACATCTAGAAATTTTACATATGCATTTTCTGTTATAAAGCAAATGATTTACTAATTGCAAAAAAATCAACTTATTAAGTGGAACGGGTCTGTGAACAAACACAATTTCTGGGTTTCATGTTTTTTTGACTACTTGAAATCATAACTTCAGTTGGCATGGTTCATGTTTTAGGTTTTAAAATTTATAAATGTAGATACTTACAAAATGCAACAATATTTCATCAAATGGAAAATGCGTGTTATGTTTTATTCATTAATAGATTTTTATGAAACTCTAGAAAAGAAAAAATCTGATTTTTTAATCGATTTTTTTTAAAAAGAAAAAAATGTGAAATAATTTTTTTTCGCGTTGTTTGTGTTAAACAAAAATTTAGCACTTTTCTTACTATATTTGATATTTTTAACCCCAAACATGAACTCTGAAAACATTTTCTTATTGTGGTTTGAAAACTAAAGCTAATGCCGCTTTTTTACTCACTTTGTAAGTAACATAAAAAAAAAAAAAAAACTAAAAATTCACCACAAATAATAATCTTTGCAAGCTGGTGTTGTAGACTTTTGATATTTCAAGCTATGACTTCTGTTAGATATGAATGTCTAAAGGAATTGCAATTTGTTCAAAAAACTTATATTTCTAATCCCTATATCTTTGCTACCCAATGTTGTAGACCTTAGATATTTTAAACTATGAATTCTGTTATATAGAAGAAAAGGGTCAGTCTGCATTGCGTAAAAAAAAAGAAAAAAATTAACCCTAACCTAATCTAAAATAATTTAGAACTACTGTTAAATTGCAAAAGTGGTTTGCCTTGCCGAATTTTACATCATTTTATAAATTGCCTGAAAACATGTCTGTTTCTTAAGCTCGTCAAATGCACGATGATAATTTCAAGTGATCCTCCATTTAAAGAGGGCCATGCTCGATTCCCAATGATAACGTATACCTTTATCTGATTGATGATTTGAAAATTAGGAGTGTTTTCCTATCTTGTATCTTGCAAAAGATAAATATGATACATCATTTTCTTGGATATGTCATGCTGAATTCAGATTCGAAAACCATTTTTAAATATATTAAAACCTAAAGAAGTTATGGCCAAATAACGGTACTAAATTCCGGTTTTTAAACTTTTTAATGTTTTTGAAGAGTTTTTTAGCTCTGACTCTCTCAATTTTCAATTTTTTTAAACGCTTTTCAGATTTGAATTTAGCATTGAATAAACAGTTTTGATTGTCAGTTGTAAAAAAGTGTAACAAAAAGTTTTCACAATAACGTTTCGATAAATCGTAACGTAAGAAAAGGTGCATTTTAGTAAAATTTCTAAACGTAATTAAAAGAGTTTATATTGGAAAAGTTAAGATAAAACGTAACGTTAAAAAAAAATATTCTTTGCACTGAAATGCATTGTAACGTACAGAACTATGCCTCAATGACGTTTTATTAAAGCATAACGTTTGTCATCTTTTAGATCTTAAACCAAGTGAAAGTGTAACGTAAGGTCTCTGAAAATATTTACCTTGCATGAAAGTGGAACGTTAAAAAATTGTGGTTATATTACATAAGCTTTAACGCAACGTTGGGAAAGTTTTTTAAAACATCAAATGCAAAAGCGTAACGGGGCTTACTGTTTTTTCAATAACATTTAATAAAGCTTAACGTTGTACAAGGTATTCAAGTGCAGAAAATTCATTACGTAACGTTACTCTATGCCATAAAATTTCATTAATGTGCAACGTAACGTCTCAAACGTTAATACTTTTGATGAACACTATCGTAACGAAAGCTAAAATCTAGAAAAATCAAAACGTTGACATCTCTACTACCTACACATGGACTAATAAGGTTTAACCTACCTACACAAGGGATAATAAGGTTTAACCTACCTACACATGGAATAATAAGGTTTAACCTACCTACACAAGGGATAATAAGGTTTAACCTACCTACACATGGAATAATAAGGTTTAACCTAGCTACACAAGGAATATAAGGTTTAACCTACCTACACAAGGAATATAAGGTTTAACCTACCTACACAAGGAATAATAAGGTTTAACCTACCTTCACAAGGGATAATAAGGTTTAACCTACCTTCACAAGGGATAATAAGGTTTAACCTACCTACACAAGGGATAATAAGGTTTAACCTACCTTCACAAGGAATAATAAGGTTTAACCTACCTACACATGGAATAATAAGGTTAACAGTGTAGAAAAGAGTTTTGCGTCGCATCGTCAGTATAAATGTAATATCAGTTAGCAGCTGTCACCGCAAATCAATCCAAATATTTTTGTTAATCAAAAAATGAAATCCTTAGTTTAAAAAAAATTAATACAACGAATTAAATATATAATTATAAGGTTACTGAATCATTGCAAACTGAACAGAAGAAGACTTAGTCAAATTTATGCGACACTACCGGTGAGAATTTGTGACCTCTTAGCTCCTCTAGCTTTCAGTTTACACCCAAGTTATGTTTAACCCATGATATAAAATATCAGTGGAAAACAATGATATCAGAAAAAGGTCATGTATCTTTTTTTTACAGATGATCACTCGAAAAAAAAACCTGCTGAATTGGGGCCTTGAATTTAGTGTTTATATGAACAAAAAGAAAATATTTGATTTCCTTATCCGGGTACTCCGCCTTGATATATGCTTCTCTCTCCAGTTCAGCAAAATTCTCAACATTCTACAATTAGAAAAATGTCAATAAAAAAATGAATCATCAGAAAACTCAACAAGAAAAATTGATTAAAAATTCAATAGAAAAAATTCAATAAACAATCAATAGAAAAATCAAATATATAAAAAAAAATTTTATCAGAATGTTTAGGAAAACCCAATAAAAAAAATCATATTTTTAAATTGCTTTCAGGAATGATATTACGAAAAAAAATCAAGGGTTTCCTTAAATAGACTTTGTAACAAGAAATATAGTTTCAGAAAAAAAAGGGGGCTTTAGATTAGGTTTTACTTTTAATACCTTAGTCGCTGGCACCTCAAGAATGTCCCATTCAACACTGAAGAGAATATCAAATTTAAAACTCAAAATATCAAATTTAAAACTCGTATTATCAAATTTAAAACTTAAAATATCAAATTTAAATAAAACTCAAAATATCAAATTTAAAACTCAAAATATCAAATTTAAATCTCAAAATATCAAATTAAAAACTTAAAATATCAAATTAAAAACTTAAAATTTCAAATTTAAAACTCAAGATATCAAATTTAAATCTCAAAATATCAAATCTAAAACACAAAATATCAAATTTAAAACCTTAAGTAAAACTCTGTCAGATCAATTCCAATATCCACAACATTATTTCCAGGCTCTTGGTGCATATGCTTCAGGTCAACCTAAAATACAAAAACACGGTGAGATTGCTTAAATGTCGTCTTTCTATTCCACAGTTTTTTGGGTCTCACTGTACACAAAAAAATGATTAGAAATAGATTTCTAATGCAAGGCTTTCCAACAACGCAGGAATAATTGAAAAAAACAAATTCAAGTTTAATTTTTTATCAAAATTTAAGACTTATTTGAAAATTCTGCCGAAAATTCGGAAACTGTAAATAAGACTTTGAAGCACAAGAGGACGACCTTTAATCTAAAAACGAAAATATCAAATAAAAAATCACATGCACAAAAAAATGCGTAACTTTTAATTTTCATTTAAGTATTTCGATTTTTTTGTATTATTTTTACCAGATTTCGGTTAATTTTAAGTGTGAACGAATTTAGCATTTTTTAGGAAAGCTTTAATCAAAGATTTTGGAAGAATAGTTTTTTTTGCTAGAAACATTTTATTTTTCTCAGAAACTTTGGAAAATGTTTGGACGTGTGAGCCCACTCAATAGTCCAACCTGATTTCCATCATAAGTCCAAGACCCAAACTTCATGTCACAACTTTGCTCGTCAAACGGAAACCATTCCACATTTATCTGAGATACAGTTCAGTTAGAAGACAACTATCTCTTTTTACTGATCCCCACCCCCCCCCCTTTCTCTGGACTTACCCCCCCCCCCTCATTCCTGGGGACCTAGGAATGAATTAAACGCTGATGTAATAGTTCAGTGAAAAAAGTGTTAAAAGACAACTACATTTAAAGGGAGTGTCTGGCTAGATGATGTAGTTGAGCTGAAAATGCAGTATTGTAGAAAAATATTTTAGGATTCACTGGAGATCTTTGAGACTTTTTGCTGTGCAAATTTGTTCAGCAAGAGCGCAAATCCAATCTTCAAAATCCTCATAGATTGTTCATTTTGAGAATCGGTTTTTTAAAAAACAATGACGATTACAAAAAATGGAACAAAATTTCTACAGTAAACTAATTAGTTGTTATTGAATAGGTTGAGAATATAAAAATTAATCTTATCATCTATAATAAGTAATCTTATTCAGTTATAGGTTTCTGTAATGTTTCTTCGTTCACAAACATTTTTCTATAGATTTCCTGGAATTGTTATCAATAATACGACATTTGAAGAATTTGACGAAATCTGCGAACAAATTCATAGACAATAAGAAATTCAGTATAATATTGACTAACCTCTATTGAGAAATATGCTCTTATAAAACATCTATTTAGTTAACGTAAAAACGTCTCATAGCCCATAATTCTCAAAGGAATCCTAATAATACTGCATTCTCAGCTCAACTACAGGGTGTCCCAATAAACATGGGAATTCAGTGACGAATTCGATATCGTCTTTTTAAATAATTCTTAGATTTAGTATAGTGATACTGAGAAAGCTGTGATCCGTAAGATTTTCGTCTGCTATGTTTACAATTTGTTTTGACTGCATACGGTTGTACTTAGTAAAACAAGAAAATTACAGTATTCAAACAGAATAAACTTATCAGTATTCACTGTTCATCTTGCGGATACATTATAGACACATCTTTAAGGCCATTTACCGTTTTCAAAATAAACTCTAGCAGACATAATAATATTATGGCTTTTGAAATCAGGTATTACAATGCTAATTCATAACAAAGAAGATATTCCCATGTTTATTGGGACACCCTGTACCATGTGTAGCCAGACACACTCCCTTTAAATATTAAGATTTCTGATTTATACACCAAAAATGCAGCTAGCTTTGCTTAGTCCGAGGTGAGAACCGTCTTAAAATTGACTTGTCATCTCCAATGTGTGTCATATCAAATTTTTAATTCACACCTAATTTCTCTTTGTACAAAGTTTTGCGCACCAAATTCCAAAACATAATATATCGGTCCATTAGTTTACAATTTAAAATTTTATCGTCGTCAGTCATCACTTTGATTAAATTACTACAGAATATACAGGGTGTTCCACGAGAAATGACAGTAGTTAAATAGTTTATAATTTATTCTTCAATAATTTGTTAAGTTGGTTAATATAAATTACAATAATAAAAATAATATATAGGAGTCTTATCATAGTAAAATTAACTTCAAAGTAAAATATATTTGAGCAAAAGATTTTTTAAACAAAATAAACAGTGAACAGCCTTTATATATATCTAATACAGTGTATGAAAGACGATATTCAAAACAATTTACCAACTTTTATGTTTCGTTGGACTCCCTGTAGCTAAAAAGTTGCTACCTGACAAGACGATTTATAAATAGCTGGTGGAGTCCACTTAACGTGTCCAGTATACTTCAGCTCTGCTTTAGTCATTAGTCTTACTTCATAGGTTCCATCTATCAAGCAATCAATTAAAATGATCTATTAATAAAGTTACTTTTGGCGCAATTTCAAGCTCAATTAAAAGCGTTACATAACCGCCTTTTTTCTTATTAACAAAAAAAGCTATTTGCTCATATCACATAAAATTCACTAGAATGGCATACTGTCAAAAAAGAACAAAAATTTCTTTTCAAAGGTATTTAAAAGTGCCTATATTGGATCTAGAGATCAAGCAATCGGTATTATAAGTATCCGACACAAATATTCCTAGTTCTGAACATATGTATCCGACACAAATATTCCTAGTTCTGAACATATGTATCCGATACAAATATTCCTAGTTCTGAACATATGTATCCGACACAAATATTCCTAGTTCTGAACATATGTATCCGACACAAATATTCCTAGTTCTGAACATATGTATCCGACACAAATATTCCTAGTTCTGAACATATGTATCCTACACAAATATTCCTAGTTCTCAACCACGTTCTTCAGTTTTGAAAAGATAAAAAATCTCTTATTTTTTCCCGGGCCACTGTTGCATAAATTTTCAAGTCAACAGGGAACCTTAACGATAAACGTTGTTAAATTCATCCTTCTATAAATGTTTTGTTGCACTTGCATATTACATGTTTAAATTGGTTCACTGAAAATACGTCAACTGTGACAATATAATTTGTCTAGAAGGGGCCATGGTTCATTTGGTGTACAGTCCGATATTGCATGCATTGTAAAATCTATATTTGCACTGTACAGCTCGCTCTAGCTGGTTAGATGAACCGGACTTAACAGTGAACTGTCCCTTTATTATTAAATGAAAAGTAAACCTGCATTGTTGTACAGTACGATATCTGGAAGCCAGATCCTCTCACTAGGTACATACAGGGTCTCTACTCCTCCGTAATCCTAGAAAGGGGCAATGAAAGGGAATAGCTAGGGGCAAATTGCATGAAATGTAAGTTTACTTTCATCTTTTATACTTTGCTTTTCCGCCTATTATATGTTTGTATTGGTTCATATAAACGTTAAAACGGCTGAACTGATCGGGCCCAATCTTTTACTTTGTATGGGGACTCCCCTACTTAAAGGGGTTCAAGGGTGATCAGAATTTAAAAAATTTGCTTCCATAAATCTCGATTTTCATAAAATTTTGTAAATTCACGAAAAAAATCCCCAAATTTTGTTGTTATCATTTTAGAATTTACGGAAGAATGACTGCTCACATATAGAAGTTTTAATAGAAGATGGGGGCGAAGCACCCTAAAACAACTTAAGATTTATTCCATTGCCAATATCGAGGGTAAATCATTTTTCTTTCCTTTCTTTACTTTAAAATATTTAATCGGGAGCATAGAGTAATAAAAGAGGGAGAGGGGTGGGGTTTAGAGATATATATTACATATACCAGATAAAGGGGCAGGGTTTAGAGATATATATTACATGTACCAGATAACGGGGGAGTTAGAGATATATATTACATATACCAGATAAAGGGGTGGGGTTTAGAGATATATATTACATATACCAGATAAAGGGGTGGGGTTTAGAGATATATATTACATAAACCAGATAAATCCGCCTAAAATGCAAATATATCTATATTCACAAAAACATTGCTATGCTTTTTATTAAAGTAAGACCAACAATTTTCAAGAAAGAAGCTTTAGTTTGTTACCTCGGGATTCCACTGGAGTTTATAATCCATCCAGGTCTGATCAACCCAAACGTTTGTTGTCATAACCTGTAACATCAGTCAGAAAGGAATTGAGTCTTGCCTTTAACACCAACTTTGATTGTCTAACTCCTATATCTCTACTACCCAATGTCGTAGACCTTAGATATTTTAAACTATGAATACTGTTAGATTAAATAATCTAAGTTTGAAATGTCAGAGGGTTGCACACTTAAGTTGCAATGATAAAGGGATTAGACAAGTTGAGTTTTTGGCAAAGACTCAATTCCTTTAACACTTTAAAGGTTAATACTTTGGGTTGGAAAAGCCCTAAGCCACGTCAGTAGAATGACGGATTAAAGTTAAAATCAAGAGAAAATTAAGAATAAAAAAAGTGTCCAACGGGGTGAATTATAAACCGTCAGGGGAGGGGGGCGGATACAATAAATCAATTAAATACCTGATTTTTCAGATCAACATCAATCAATTGTGAGAGCTTTAGACCGAGTTTGACCACGAGTGTGTCCGTAAAATTAAACACCGGTCTGAAATAGGATTTTATTGTTTAAATTCAAGTTTTTAGACTTGATATGGAATTTTATCGAAACTGCCTATTTTACCTGTATATATGGCAACATTTTTGCAGATTTCTGACAAAAATTAGTTCAAAGCCTTAAAATCTGCTAAAATAGTACCATGGAAAAATTATTTATATTAAGAACATTTTAAATCTTTAACTAAAATATATTTTACTTAGAAATCAATTTTACTATAACATGACCACCATTAAATATTCAAAATACTCTTTGGTTTTAAACAACTTAAGTAATTATGGAAGAAGACATTTTAAATTATTCACCAACTGTCATGTTTCGTGGGACACCCTTTATATACCTAAACCTCATTTTTCGTTAACATTTCCTTTAAACAAAAACGGTTTTTGAAAGTTAGGTTTAACCTGATAAAAGAGTTTCCAACGCAAATGGCACGCCATTTCGCGCAATTCCGTGCAATTCCGTGCAATTCTGCGCATTTCCGGACAACGGAATTCCGATTGTAAACCGTACCTGATAAGTCTGTTGTAATTATGCAAAAGATCATCATAAAGCTTTTTAGCGTCAGGGTTCCCAGTACACACACAGATTAAACAGACTAACACAGTCTTGAATAACATCACTTCTGAAACAGGCAAATCATGCTAAAACATTATGCAATATAGTATTATTTTTATATTTTAAAATTGTCAAATCAGAAAAACCAGAAAACAGTGAAAGTCTTTTTTTTCTTTGTTTATTTTGGATTTTGTAGTTTCTTTCTGATTTATTCATGAAATGTGCCCTAAATGCAGGGGGGCGGAAACGTCATGGGGGTGTCCGTGCCAAAAGAGTGTGTGTAAGGAATACCGAACCAAAGGCGTGTACTGTAGGTATATACATTTGTGTATTGTTAAATGTTGACTTAAAAATAAGTTTAATATGCATGTACTATGTAATATATTATTTATATATTTAAGTCAACACTATAAGCCAAATTTTCATGTGAAGAATACAATTTGATTAAAGTCTACAATAAACTACTCGTTATTCAAGATTGATTATAATTGACGACATTGTTCTGCAATTTCCTTGACTGTAGTCATGTTGTGTGTCTGTACCAAAAGAGTGTGCGTGTGTAATAACGAACTCGTCTGCAAAGCAGTGCGACTGGCTTTCTCATGCCAGACCAGCGCCATTGCCCTTTCCTTTATTCTTATTCCCTGCCGAAATATTATCAAAAATAACATTGTATAATACAAAATCCATATATGTGACGTTTCTTTATTAAAAGAAAGACCGAAGACGACAAGCATGACACAGTTTTCTGGTTTATACTGTATTGTAAATCCTTTGAGCATTGATGGTGTTAAAAATAGTATTTATTATTGTTTCGTTTTCCTTTCAAATGTGCGAAAAGCATGCTTGCTTGCACTGATCAAAATTGAGATCGATTTAATCAAAAATTATCTTTGGCATTTGAAAACATAAATTAGAATTAATCTTCTTTATGCAACAATAATGGGTTATTATTATTATAATTTATATGCAGTGGTAGTCGATTATATCAATGTACAATAAAGACGACATTTTTGATTAAGTTTTGATTGTTTACGAGCATTTTTCGAATTTAAAGCTTACACGTAATTAAAGAGAAGCTTATTTAATTGACAGCTTCTCTTTGTTTCCAAATTAATGTGTAAGTCGTCTTCATTGTATTGATAAATGCGACGACGACTGTATAATCTCTTGCAGGGAATAAAGCAACAACATGAAATTATTAAATATTACAGGAAAGATAAAAATAACTAGACAAATAGAGCCTAAATTAAAAAATTACTGTGTCCATGTTTTCAATAATTGCTTGTTGATTTATTACAGGGTGTCTCAAAAACGTTAAGATAGTTTTATGCTTCGCATTCTATTGGCCAATTCCGATAGTTTTATGCTCCGCATTCTATTGGCCAACTCCGATAGTTTTATGCTTCGCATTCTATTGGCCAACTCCGATAGTTTTATGCTTCGCGTCTATTGGCCAACTCCAATAGTTGTGTGCTTCGCGTCTATTGGCTCCCTCATATCGTATAAAGATGGAGCCATCAGGATAATTCCACCGGACCCTAAAAAAGGTTAAAAATAAAAAAAATTATCAATTTAGATTTTTATACAGCTGTTGAAAAAAAGTTTGAGGAGTTTTTATAAAATTGTTGAGTAATTTTCAATGTTGTTGTGTGGTTATAGCCAGGGTGTATACGTATTTACATATTTCAAGTGAATCTTCAATTATTTGGAGAGATATGTCCAATTCACAACGATACCCGTGTCCGTCCTAGTATATGATTTTTGGACCGCCCCCCCTCCACTCTCCTTTCAATTTTGTACATGACCACTTTTTTTTAGCAAATATTATTATTTTTTTTTTATTATTTAGGGTTAGGTTAGGTTAAGACCCTTTCTAGGCCGAGCGCTGCGGCTAGGACAGGCTAGGGGGGGCTGAGCGATGCGGCCAGGACGGGTCTTCATTTTTAATAATTTACAACAAAATTAGTATATATTTAGGGTTAGGTTAGGTTAAGACACTTTCTGGGCCGAGCACGATGGCTAGGACAGGCTATGGGGCCGAGCGCTGCGGCTAAGACAGGCTAGGGGGCCAAGCGCCGAGGTCCAAAAATCGTATATTAGGAATCTACCCGATACCCTTTAAAGCTTCAGCTGAGCATGACTTTATGAGATATCCATTTTTCACTGAAAAACAAGAATTATTGTCTTTTCTTATCATTTTCTTTTTTTGTAAATTTCCATAGAAACATTTGAGGACATTGTAAGAATTATGAACTTTTCAAAAACGATGATATCTTTTAAAATGACGATCAAATAAAGGGAATCGCTGTGAATAGGAAATGTATCCTTTTAAATGAACAGTCTCTTAAAAGTGTAAAATCTACAGGGTGTCCCACGAAACATGACAGTTGGTGAATAGTTTAGAATGTCTTCTTCCATAATTTTTTACCAAAGCCAATAATAAAAATATTATATGGGAGTCATATTATAGTAAACTTGATTCCAAAGTAAAATATATTTGAACAGAAGATGTTTTTAACGAAATGAGCTGCAAAAAAACCTTTAATATCATAATGCAGTATCTGTAAGACGACATTCAAAACTATTTATCAACTGTCATGTTTCGTGGGACACCATGTACTTCTGAACTGACCCATGATACAAGTAGCTGTGAAGAGCCAAAGGAAAAGTCGGTCCAGCACCATTGCAATGTACTTCCAATCCTCAATAACCTAATTAAACAAGAAATAATTTATAAGACAAACTATGATAAAAAAGGTTCCTCTATTCAGCTACTTTCTTCACGGTCATGGAGTTGGGAACTTTTGTATTGAAAACTCATAATCTTGATATCCACTTTGGACATCGAATAAGGATTTCAAGGGAAATTAGTTCCAAAATTCAAGCTCGGAACAAAATAAAATCTAAATAGAATTGAACTATAGGGCTGGGTACGTTCTGTTCTGTTCTGTTCTTCAACGAGGACCTTGAGCTGAATGGTTCCGTTCTTTTTACGTTACTTTCTAATAAGAACGCGTTTATAATTTTAACGTTCTTTCCGAGCAATATCCGTTCGTTCCACCCGTTCGTTCTTTTAATAATCGTTCCAATAGTTCGTTCTACATGTATGTTCTTCTTTTCAGAACATTTTTTTTTTGATAATTCCGTTCGTTTTCATTAAAGAACAATCGTTCACTAGGAACGACGCCCAGCTCTAGATAAAGAAAAATGTCTATCAAAAATGACAGTGGGATGAATATTTGTCATACCTCGATATCCTCATCATTTTTCCTAATATGTTGAGCAATAAATTGAACACCTTTTAAGGCCAGCTCTACCTCAGGACTGAAAACATCATTATTTTCTTCAACATTTTATACAGTGAATCCCATACATATGAATACATAGCAAGGGCTTTTATACTGTCGTATTCTCAACATATTTAAGAACAAATGCCCCGGAAAAAAACGAGTTTGATTTATCAATTGCTTAAAAAAAATGAGTCTGTAATGATATTTGGATATATTTTCACAAATCAAACTTAACCCTTTGAAGTTGCGAACATCTCAGCAGTTTTCTTTTGGTGCAGACCAATGATGAAATTATTACAGCTGTTATTAATAATTAAATAAATTTCAAGACGACATTTCATGCGCTCTTGCTATGTTTTCTTTGATGTGTGCTGTAAAATGCAGTCATGGGTTCAGGTGCCCGGATTTTTATCTATTGTTTACAAATGGTATGAAGAAAAAAATAACATTTATGATTAAAATCCAGCCGGGATAATAAAGGGCTCTGTCGGGACTATAAAATAGCAAGCCGGGACAATAAAGCCAGTCAAAAGTTCGGACCTGAATTGATGGTAAATGGAATCACTTGCTGTAGATATCATATCCTCATCATAACGATCTCCATACTGTAAACAGTTAAATCAAACAATGATATTTAAAGAAAAAGTTACGTCACTTTTGTCACTTTTCATTCAAAATTAAGTGTTATTTACATTTTAAGGCTGCCTTTAAAATCTTGCTCTATTTAACGATGTCAAACAGATCCTTGCACGAGATTGTCGTTCGAATTTCAAGAAAACATTTAAAGATTCACCAAAGGAACATTCTAGCCTGAAGCTGTATCAATTTTACTTCAATGTTTCTGTAACAAAAGGTAGCAATGAATTTTCAGAAAAAACCCTTAGATTTCCCGTTTCTTCTTAAATAGTATAAAAGCGTTTTAGGAAATAATAGGGAATCCGACATGCCACAGAGTCACTTAGCTTTATGTTGATTTATCTGATATGTAAATTTTTCTTTAAAATGTATTTACCATAATATCTCCATTTTGTTTGGCATAGTCTTGTTGCATTTTCTCTTCAGAATTACAATCGGTAGTTTCCTAAAACACAATAATTAATAGAAAAAAACTAAATTTTCTTGCAATCTTAATTTTGAAAATCTGGAGAGTAGGGTTTCCAACGCAGGATTTGACCTGTAAACTCCACACAATTCCGCACAATTGCTTGTAATTTGAGAACAGTTGCGTGCAATTCCGCGCAACGGAATTCCGACAAGAAAACTTAGTTGAGAGACCTTGACCAACTACAAAAGCGGTATTTTCTAGATCTTATATATATATATTTATAGGAAAATAAGTGTTTTTTAAATTTAACGGGCTACGCCGAGTACTTCAGCGAGTTGCATCATATATTTTGACATTTTCATAATAGGGTCTAGTTTATCAAAGGGAAAAGGAGGCCTCATGCAGGCAGTGTGCCAGAGGTCTAAGGCAGTTGGTATATAAAAGGCAACTTTTATTAAAGTTAAAAAAATCAAAATTGTCCGAAGGAATTGAGTCTTTGTCAGAAGTTCAAAATTTCTGATTCCTTCATCTTTGCAACCTGATAGTGTAATCTTTTATATTTTAAACTTAGATTTTTTGATCTAACAGAATTTACAGCTTGAAATATGTTAAGGTCTCCGACATTGGGTTGCGAATATATAGGAATTAGATAACCAAAGTTTGTGACAAAGACTGAATTCTAAATTTATAATTTATAATATTCAACGAAGAAAGGTCACATTTTTAAAAAAGTTCTGCAATATTTTAGTTGATCTTATCACCAAATAAAAAGTCAAGACAATATTTCTGATACTCATTGGGACACCCTGTAATGAGGACCTCAGAAAAACTGCTAGTTTAGGGCTGATGTTTATTGGGACACCCTGTAACTGGCGAAACTCTGAAGAATCAGATGTTTATTGGGACACCCTGCATACCTGACTAAACTGCGGAGAAGTAGATGGATGTTGAGACACCTTGCACATGGAAAAACTCTGGAGAAGTAGATGTTTATTGAGACACCTTGTACCTGGAAAAACTCTGGAGAATCTGATGTATATTGAGACACCTTGTACATGGAAAAACTCTGGAGAAGTAGATGTTTATTGAGACACCTTGTACATGGAAAAACTCTGGAGAAGCTGATGTATATTGAGACACCTTGTACATGGAAAAACTCTGGAGAAGTAGATTTTTAATGAGACACCTTGTACATGGAAAAACTCTGGAGAAGCTGATGTTTATTGAGACACCTTGTACATGGAAAACTCTGGAGAAATGTATATTGAGACACCTTGTACATGGAAAAACTCTGGAGAAGTAGATTTTTAATGAGACACCTTGTACATGGAAAACTCTGGAGAAGCTGATGTTTATTGAGACCTTGTACATGGAAAACTCTGGAGAATCTGATGTTTATTGAGACACCTTGTACATGGCAAAATTCTGGAGAAATTGCTAGATTATGGCTGATGTTTATTGGACCATCCTGTACCTGGCTAAACTCAGGAGAAGCTGCTAGTTTAGGGCTGTCTAGTCCACTATACCCTGCCAGGTAAGGACCAACCTGAGTTGCCTAAAATATGCAAATTTGTTTTTAGTCTTAATTTTTCAAGCATTTGTGTTTTGTACCATAATACTTTCTCAGAGAGGCTTTACAAAGGTAGCTTTTAATCAGGCAAAATGAGTTCTTTCTAAAAAATTTGCTGAACTTAGAACTTTTGAATGTTAATTGACAGAGTTAACCCAAACCCCATCTCAGCTGATTTTAAATGGTCTAATCCGGAGTTTTCAACAATGAGAGCGCAGTTATTCTGTATGGAGAGAATTAGTTTATTTCTCACACAAGTTTAGTTAAAGTTATTTCAAGTGACCCTTCAGGTAAAGATGGCAATGTCTGTTTAACAACGGTACCCTAAAATCCTTGAATGATTTTGTTTTCTTGAAACTGCTGATTTTTATTTGAGCATTTATTGCTTGTCAGAAGCAATGAAGAAACTCACAAAAAACGACATTTTCTTCCATATTTTTAAGGTTAAGGTTTCAATGGTTAAATCTTTGCATGAAGGGTCAATTGAAATTACACTTTATGAAAATGTTTTCATATATCATGACAAAATGTTGCTAAATGTTTCTGTCATTCGATATTTTTCTGAAATATAGTTTTTCTTCAAAAAGTTTTTTTTTTTATCTCTTACCTTACAGTTATTGTCAATACAGTTGATTGGTTCCTTCTTCGGGGATGAATCATCAAACTCCATAGAATAGCGAGGAATGTATTGAGGTCGTCTGCAATATAATAAGGATGTGTCTAAATACTTTTGTTTTTACAGTGAGACCCATTTAACAGTGGTGGAGGAAGACGACAGTTAGACTTTAGATTTGATTTTAAAGTACAATGAACACAATACACAGAAATTAATAGCTTGATGTTCTTAATAATTTGTTTATTATGGCAACTTCTGACAACTATGGCAAGATTAAAACTAAGAATCATTTCACCCGTCAGTACCTTTCTAGCTAAATGATATAAGGTCATGTTTATCAAGTTTTATTGATGTATGACGCCCGGGTAAAACAATTTGTTTTATAATGCCCCAATATATGCACGTGCAAAATATTGATTAGATGTCGTCTTCCTTTTTCAAAGTTGTGCGGGTCCAACTGTATTTAATACAAACTTAATTAAATATGTATTATTAAAAACATATTAATATTAATAAAAACAGATGACTTAGGGGTGTTGTGGAAAAATATTTGTACAGAAATATCTGATAGATCCATTAAATTATTACTTCTCAACTTTCTCCTAACCCCCCATTTTGGTTTTACGCCCTTTAACACTATGTCTACGATAACAGTAAGACCCGTTAAATTGTGGAATAGGAAGACGACAATAAAGCAAGCCATTGTGTATTTGATGTTGTTTAAAATCAAACGATTCTACTGTAAACCATGCAGGGAATTATTTTCCTGCAAAATTGTATAACTGCATATATCATGTTCAATGTTGGGCCCAGAGCCCAACCCAACCCAAGATTATTTATTAGCTTGGCGGGTGCAAGGTACTAATGCAAGGAAAGTTAATTGTGGTCGCGTATACTCTGCGTACATTTTGAAACCAGTTCTCTCTGGGCGGAATTTGTAAACAAGAATAGATGCATCAGTGTTCGGCTAGTATCCGAGGAGGAGAAAAGCATTTAATTTTGATAATTTTGAAAATTCACATAATAGTTTCCTATGACCAGAATATTTCATACGATTATTTTTTGTGAAAATGGATTCCATTCCATGTCAGACTGTGACATCCGTCTTGTGTTTACTTTTCCGCCCAAAGACAGTACACTGCAGTTCAAAAATTGTGCACACCTCTGAAATAACTTTCCTTGCATTAATTCCTTGGGCGGGTGGATTTGAAAATAGAAGCCAAACAGAGAAAACCGTTAGGCTCGAGATAAGACCTCCGCTGGAACTAAACAATGCTCCAAATGGGACTATCAACACCATTTGGGACTATCAACACCATTTGGGACTATCAACACCATTTGGGACTATCAACACCATATAACCTCATCATCAGAATTTTTGGAAGAATCTGAAGAAATATTTCTTTCATCCAGTTTGGCATCTTGTGGGTCGCCGGAGTTCTGAAAATAATATTTTTAAATTCTTAATATCTTTAAAAAGTCTGAAATTCTCTCTCCGGATTGTTTTTAAACCTTGGTCTTTAATTTTAAATGAGTTTTGTCAAACCGTTAATACTATTTAAAAAAACCTCTAACGAAAATTAACATTAATAAATATATATTTAATGTTATCCAACGTAAATTTGAAGGCATATTCAAATTCTAAAATAAAAATGTTAAAAATTGATGACAATAACTTTGGATGCACAATGTTCCTTCAAATCTGCATACAACTAATCTTTATATAAAATTAGCTTGTCTGGGTGTCTGTTTATTTGTCTGTTTGTTTGTATCCAATAAATGTCAAAAGGGCTGAACCGATCAAGCCCAAATTTTGTGTGGGACATCACATGGCCCCAGGGAAGGTTTATTTATGATCAAAGTTTTAAAAATTTGTGTTTAAAAGTTTTTTATTTTGAGAGATTTTGAAATGTGCGAAAAAATATTATGAAATCCGCAAACTTCTTTTTAATTTTGTTATATACTTTACAAAAAGAAGATGCTCACAGATAATGCCACAATGAAAAGTTGAAATAGAAGACGGGCGTGAAGCCCCCTAAAAGCCAAGTTCCACAAATTTCTTAAATCCATATTCATATCAATTAATTTCAACCCAACCCATGCCCAGTATTCTTCTAAACATTCATCCCATTATAATTCCTTCATCTGTAATCATCTAAATCCACCCTCATGCATAAATTTTGTCTATATCTTCAACAATTACATAATTAATATCTGTTATACTTTATTCATTTACCATTATACCTGCTACAAGTTGAACATCTATTTATCAACTAATGGAGAATTTACTGACATTGATTATAATGAAAACATCAATTTCCCCCAAAATGATAGCAATTTTGAAACATTCTATTTACCAAAATGTTTGCATAAATTTTTTACATATTTTTAAATATTTTTAAATTCTCACTTGAAAAATGCATTTTTGTATAGTTGAGGATTCGTGAATTTTAAGCCCCAGTTTAGTATAATGCAACATAATTCTGTGACCTTCTGTTACGTAAAAATAAACCCACGCGTAACATTACTAAATTGACGTTGTTTAAACCCTAACAAATAACTTTACCGAACATTAACAAATAATGTAATTTTTACATAATCAAAGTTACATTTAGAAATGTTATAAAACGTTATTTTACGGTATCTAACATTCTGTAACGTTAAAATTGTTAGAAACATAAGGTAACGTTACCCTGCAGTTATGATTTAATTTTAGTAACGTTACTTGGTTTGCAGGGCAGCCCTAGGTACTTATCAGCTCCCTTAAAACGTAAAATCTACCTGAAATGAATGTTTAAGATACCGACAGTAACACAAATAGAAAAGGTGACCAATAACATCGTAAACACAAGATATTTCCCTAAAAACATTAAAAAAAATATATACATATATAAAAATAATAATGTTTAGAAATTTGATAAGATTTGAAAAATTAAATTATTCAGTAAAGTGCTTCAGTTTTAGAATAATTGTTAGGTTTGAATATAAAATGGCATTCTATAAAAAAAAGAAATATGGAGGAATATTCTAAGCAATTAAACTATAAAATGGCTACCTACCTAACAAAGGAACAGCTAGGGAGGTTGGAGGAATAATTTCGGCTAAAAGCAAGAAGAACACAGTGAGTGAGAGTAAAATGTTTATACACAAAGTCACCTGAACAAATGAAATTTTATTAATAGGATTATTAAATCAAACTGTAACATTATTCAGAGGAGTAAATCTTTCTAAACCAACAAACATAAATGTTAAGTACTTTCTCAAAGGCCTTTTCACAAGCGGCAACTTCCCAAGGGCATTTTCCCAAGAGACAACTTTCCAAGCAGCTAGGATGTTCTTGCCTTCACTTACTTAGAGAAACTGAATGCCTTTATTTTAGTTGCATATTTTCTAAAAAAAAGTTGAGAAATTCTTTTAAAATTGTAAAACTTATAAATGTTCATTTAATACTTCCTTAATGGGGAATATGCCATTTTTCCTTCATGGGGAAGTTGCCAATTGGGAAATTGCACATTTGGGAAGTTTCCACTTGGGAAATTGTAACTTGGGAAGTTGCCCTTGGGAAAATGCTTTTGTTAAAGTACCATAACATCCAAATATATTACAGAATGTTTAATTTTTTTTTTACCTTTTCTCCGGAATCTGATGGTAGGTAGAAGACAAGCACAGTAAGAAATGAAATTCCTAAAATATTATATTGTTTTTTTTTTGAAGTTTAATTTTCTTAACACATTTTTAAAAAAATATGGCTGAACCTACCTACACATGGAATAATAAGATTGACAGTGTAGAATAGGGTTTTCCGTCTCATGGTAAGCATGAATGTTATATCAGTCAGCAACTAAATAATTGTATCAATGATGGAGAAAAAATTATCAAATAAAATGTGTCTATTATGACAATGAATAAAAAATTTTAAACTAATCAAAATAAGTATCTTTTTCATAATTACTTTTCAGGGATGTAAAAATTTGATTTTTACCGTTTGAGCGAAAACAATTGAAATTTTTTATTTATTACATTTTATTAAAATTCTTAATTATCAAAAGAAATCCCAAAAGATGATAAATCAAGTTTGTAATTGAATAAATTTGATTAATAAAGTGTTTTATGGACGAATTAATTGTTTCACAAATTGATTAATTGGTTTATTTTAAATTGGCTGATTGGTTAATTGATTGATTGGTTGATTGACTAATTGATTGATTGACTAATTGATTGATTGACTAATTGATTGATTGGCTAATTGATTAATTGATTGACTAATTGATTGATTGATTGACTAATGGATTAATTGATTGATTGGTCAATTTATTGATTGATTGACTAATTGATTGATCTATAATGAACCTTGTCCGGATTCAAATCCTCTGCCGAAGAAGATTCATGTTGTTCCCTTTCCATCTCCTCGTAGTTCTCTATATTCTTTAAAACAAAATAAAAATTCATCTTTAAAAGGACTGTAATTGAAAAGATGGCAATGCCCGATTTACAACGGTACCCTTGAAACCTTTATGATCAATAGTTTATAAGTTGAAATTAATAAGTTTTTCCAATTATAAACTTGGATCTCTAATTCAGATTTGATCAGAATAAGCTTTTGAGGGTGGGTACCGTTGTAAATCAGGCATTGCCATCTTTACTTAGAGGGTCACTTGAAATTACACTTACAGTTCCTTTAAATATTTTAACAGCTTAAAATATCTTATTAAAACATCAACATATTAACAATTGAATAAATGTTTTTAGGAGATTCCATCATTTCACATAATTCATCCTTGAGTTAAAAGAATACTTCAAAAGAAGATTCCTTTGTTACATTTAATTCATCCTTGAGTTAAAAGAATACTTCAAAAGAAGATTCCTTTGTTACATATAGTTCATCCTTGAGTTAAAAGAATACTTCAAAGAAGATTCCTTTGTTACATATAATTCATCCTTGAGTTAAAAGAATACTTCAAAAGAAGATCCCATTAAGTTAAAAGAATACTTCAAAAGAAGATTTTATGTTTTACAAAAATTAATTTACCTTAGTAGCCGGCACTTCCAGTATATCCCACTCAACACTATATAGAACAAGTTTAAAAAGAATGTTTTTCTAATGTGACTCTCCATTCAAGAAGTAAAACTTCCGATTCATCTTAAAATTAACAGTTTTCATTTGGGGCAAACGACGATATCTTCTTCACAAAGAGAATAGATTGTCTAAATTCCACTCTAATATATATTCTATTCTCTTTGCTTCTTCATTGTCAATCCGTCAAGGGGAAATTAGGTACCTTAGTATATTCTAACATTTATCGCTATAAAATAATAAAAACTAAAATTCCACCTACAGTCCCTGTAGACAAATTTTACGATCCTCGCTATTTATCTAAACTAGAATTAGAGGTTAGCCATTTCTTATTTGCAAAACACTGAACATTTTAAAGATATATAAAGATTTTAACATTAAAAAAACTAATTCAAATGTAATAACTGAAATGTTATTAACGAGTAATAATTGATGTCTTTCTTTTCCATATTATTTTGTGGACCAGCGTATACCTGAGATAGAATTCTGAAAGATCTATTCCTATGGCAACAACATTGTTCCCAGGCTCCTGGTTCATATGCTTCAAATCAACCTGAAACCATTGCATTAGAAATACCGCATAAATAGTTTGTTATTTAAAAGATTCAATATATATTTTATACAAGTGATGAAGTGCGGCAAGCCCGGCAGAGTATTTTTGATTCATTAGAATTCATTTTTATCCGCTCTAAAGCAATGCAAAAGTTTCCTTTCAATCTTTTGTATTTATAATATTTATTGAAAGGACAGTAAGCCAAATTTCAATTTACTATTCATGTAAAGATGGCAAAGCCTGATTCACAACGGTACCCTTGAAACCTTTATGTAATATAAAATGTGGACGATTTTCTATGTTTAATAGTGTTTCTTCATGATAATTTTTTTTTAAAGTTTTCCTGCAGTAAAAATGCGCAAGTCACTTTTGTGAGATACCACACTTGACAATTATAAGTTTTCAAATCATACTCATTAATTTCTAATTAATACCTCATCAGACAAAAATTTATGATACTGTTGTGAATCAGGCATTGCCATCTTTGCATGAAATTACGCCAACAGTTCATTTAAACAATGATAATTTAACCTGATTTCCATCATAAGTCCAAGACCCAAACTTCATGTCACAGTTTTGTTCATCAAACGGGAACCATTCCACATTTATCTATGATAACAGTTTACAAGGTTAATATAAACATTTATAAATAATTTATTTATTTCACCTTATCTATATAATAATGCTCTTCACTCATATATATATATATATTTGTATATGTATATGTTCACCATAGCTAACAAAAATTTTATTTTAATTCCACGGGCAACCCCGGGCACTTCAGGTATAGTTTCTAATAAATCAATTAAATGTACTGTTATATATATATAGCATATAACATTAGATTGCTAAAATTGCTAAAAATTGAAGTTTTGTGCCAAGTAATAAGGTTCTTTGCCCTTGTCAAAAAAAACAATCAAATAAAACATAAACAAAGCAAAGTGAAGCATCCTTACATCTTTCTAAAAAAATTGATTTTTTGTTGTAGATTTTCTTTCAATCAATTTGCTCAGGTGCTGCATGAAATAAAGTTGTAGAAAAAATGATTTCCAAACTAAGGCGTCACCATAGTTTCCTATTTCGGTGGAAGTAAATATTTCCATTTACTGATAGCGCCGATTAAAAGATTCATAACTCTGATTGGAGATAGATAAAAAGATAGATGTTACCGGAAAAATATTTCTATTGGTTTAGAATAGACAACAAACACATGACAGGACCCTGATTGGATCAGGCGCTAATGGACCCGGCATACGCGCGTGGTGCTTCAATTGAGGGTCATTTGAAACACCGATTTCCAAAACGCTTTGATTAAATCAACGTAGAAATAGCTAAAAAGTTGCTACCTGACAAGACGATTTATAAATAGCTGGTGGAGTCCACTTTACATGTCCAGTATACTTCAGCTCTGCTTTAGTCATTAGTCTCACTTCATAGGTTCCATCTATCAAGCAATTAATTAATTAATTAATTAATATATCCACTTAAGTATCCATTTATCAATATGATAATTAAAAAATTATCCCAACCCAAAACTAGGAATGATGTAGAAAAACGTGTTGGATTTCCAGTGTTTTTGGGAACATTTAAGAACCTGGAAGGTGGAGGGGCGATAAGTCTTCCCATCGTTATACCTTCCCTTTGTTAAACCTTCCCATCGTTAAACCTTTTTACTTTGTAAAACATGTTTAAAGTACAGCACACAGTAAATTGAAGGTCTTGGTTAATTTCAGTGAGTCTTCACTTTAGATCCCATTTACAGCTGTATTAAATGAAGATTTTTATAAAGCTATATGAGTTAAGACCAGAGGTTTTAACAAGTTCTGAAAGTTGATTATGTCCAGAACTAGCATAAAGATTTTTGAGAAAATTACATTTAAGCATATTTTATAATTTAGACCTGAAAAAGGCGTTTGACTTAATCTATATAATAAAACAAGACATTCGTATATATATACAAATATATATGTTGCGTATAGCCGGCCAAACGGCTGTACCGATTGGTCTGAAATTTTTTGAGGACACTCAGGGGTGGCCGGGGGGGGGGGGGTGTTATAGGCTATAAAAATTCGAATTTTTTTTCAAATTTTTAAAACATTTTATTTCTTCTTTCCACGGGCAACGCCGGGCCCTTCAGCTAGAAGTTTTTAAACCTCAAATAGAAGGGAAACAATAGATTTTATATTTTAGGGGTCTAATTAAAGTAAACTCCCATTCCTTCAAATGGTACCTGCATTGTTGTACAGTACGATATCTGGAAGCCAGATCCTTTCACTTGGTACATACAGGGTCTCTACTCCACCGTACTCCTCGGGATCCCATCGTAGCTTGTAATCCATCCAGGTCTGGTCAACCCACACATTCGTTGTCATTACCTTCATCATTATTATTATTATTATTATTATCATTATTATTATTATTATTGTTATTATTATTATTATTATTATTATATTATTATTATTACTAGCACTATCGAAGTTTGCAAAGTAAAGAACTGATTGTCTCAAAAATCAAATGTTTTATTTAAGATTCATAAGATCTAGTTGAACCAGCCGTATTTACGATTCATAAGATCTAGTTGAACCAGCCGTATTTACTTCTCTTCATTCATACATTTTCATCTCTGATATAAGGTTTAAATATTAACCTGGTTTTTCAGATCAACATCAATAAGCTGTGAAAGCTTGAGACCTAACCTAACCACCAGGGTGTCAGTGAAATTGGAAACAGGTCTAAAATATTAATTTTTTATTATCTATCTATCTCATTAGAAAACAAAAATTCGTCGTCGTTGTCTAAAATATGCACGAGGTTTATGTCACACGGAAACTAACTAAAATAAAGTAATGCTGTATTTAGTTTTTTTTCGTTTTGAATAGTTTTTAGAAAAAAAAATAATAAAACATCAACAATCTCGAACTTCAAAGTGGAAAATTCATCCGGTGTAATATTTTGTTTTGTCCTCTATATAGTCATATGTGGTTCATTTGAAGCAAGGTTATAATGCAAGGAAAGTTAATTGCGGTTGTGTATACTCTGCGTACATATTGAAACCAGTTCTCTCTGGGCGGAATTTGCAAACAAGAATAGATACATCAGTGTTCCTCTAGTATCCAAGGAGGTTAAAAGTATTGAATTTTGAAAATTTTGATAATTCACATAATAGTTTCCTATGACCAGAATATGTCACTAATTTTTTATGTGAAAGATGGATCCCATGTCAGGCTGTGACATCCGTCTTGTGTTTACATTACCGCTCAGAGACAGTACACTACAGTATACAAAAGATGCGTACACCTCTGAAATAACTTTTCTTGCATTAGAACATTGATTTGATGTATCAAACCGCCCATCAGGCAGTTGTACAGTATAGCAGTACAAAACAGGATTGTAAACTCAATAAAGTTTCCAATTTTTGATGGATTAATGTGGGATATATAACAGAACAGTATAGCAGTACAAAACAGGATTGTAAACTCAATAAAGTTTCCACTTTTTGATGGATTAATGTGGGATATATAACTGTACAGTTGTACAGTATAGCAGTACAAAACAGGATTGTAAACTCAATAAAGTTTCCACTTTTGCTGGATTAATGTGGGATATATAACTGTACAAATCGTTCCAATTTTCCAGCCCGGCACTTCAGATAAAGTGGAGTGATACAACTTTGGTCGGGAAAAATTTAAAGTTTGACCCAACGATTTTTGATGGAAAGGTTTAAAATTTAAACCATCTTTTTGGAACAAAATTGAAGAAAAGATTCTTAGAATATTTGAACAAAAACTAAAAAAACATTTTGGAAGACAAGTTTAACGAAATATACCTAAAATTATTTATAGTTTACATTAAGAAAAACAAAAAAATAAAAAGTTGGGTCACGAATAACTGCAACTTTCCCAAAATATGTGAACACTCCCTTTAAAGAGGAACTATATACTGGCCTGATAAGCCTATTGTAATTATGTAGAAGATCATCATAAAGTTTCTTAGCAGCTGGATTCCCAGCACACACACAGATCAAGCAGACTAACACGGTCTTAAACAACATCACTTCTGAAATAGTTTTCTAAAGCATTTTTACAGGAAATGAGCTTTGAACTCTAACTTTTCCCGCTTATATCTTAGCAACCCGATGTCGTAGACTTTAGATATTTCAAACTATGAATTCTGTTATATGAAATAATCTAAATTGGAAATATCTTCAGTTTACACCATACTTATTTAGTATACAATATACAAAGTTATTAAGAACTATTATCAAATTGAAGATGAAAAAAGTTCAAATACTTATTTTTTTCAATATTCAAAGTTATTCAGAACTATTATCAAATTAAAGATGAAAAAAAGTTCAAATACTTATTTTTTTTCAATATTCAAAGCTATTAAGAACTATTATCAAATTAAAGATGAAAAAAAGTTTAAATACTTATTTTTTTTCAATATTCAAAGTTATTCAGAACTATTATCAAATTAAAGATGAAAAAGAAGTTTAAATACTTATTTTTTTTTCAATATTCAAAGTTATTCAGAACTATTATCAAATTAAAGATGAAAAAGAAGTTTAAATACTTATTTTTTTTCAATATTCAAAGTTATTAAGAACTATTATCAAATTGAAGATGAACAAATTTTCAAATACTTTTTTTGTAGAATATATTTTCTGTAGAATATATTTTCTGTAGAATATATTTTCTGTAGAATATATTTTCTGTAGAATATATTTTCTGTAGAATATATATTTTCTGTAGAATATATTTTCTGTAGAATATATTTTCTGTAGAATATATTTTTGTAGACCCAGATTTGCATCAACAATTGGAACTTTTCTGTTGCTGTATTAGCTTTTTAGTATAATATTTTTTAATAATAAAAGGAATAATCGAAATTATAAAAATGCAAAATTTGCGCCAAATTTGATTATTTGTATTAAATCATTCTGAGAAATATACAAACATCTTCAACGACAAGGACGCAAATATAGAACATAAAAATATATAAACATTTTCGTTTTTGATATAAAGCTAGCTGTACAGTGAACACACCACAATTTCTATGTTTTGTGTTTTCTTGACTTTTCAATATCATAACTTTTCCTCAGTTTTATAGGACTCAATGTACATAAATACAGTAGATAAATATTAACGAAATTATGTATTATAGGATTCAATGGACATAAATACAGTAGATAAATATTAACTAAATTATGTTTTACTGCAGCATACATAACATTATTGATTACATATAATATACTTGAAACATTATTTAAAAAGGCAAAAAAAAGATCAAATAAATAAATGTCTTTGCAGAAGGAGAGAGAAGGGGGGTAATCATTCACACTAAACTAAGTTCTTGGTGTGTACTGTAACTGCAAGTAATCTGTAGTACACTGAACGAAGAAATACAGGTTTTAGTATTTGTGCATTCCCTTTTTGCTTTTCTTCTTAACCCAGAAAGTACTGGTGTTATTTCTGGGTGCTCAATTTTTCCAACAATTAAAAATAAAATCGTCCAAAAAAATTCTGCACAGTAAAATTAATTTGAACATTTAAACAGAGATATTCATATTATGAATAAACTATACAGTGAGAGTTCTATGTCAATTTGTTCCATTGATTCGGTTTCAATTAGTTCCATTGATTCTGTTTCAATTTGTTCCATTGATAAATTGCAGTGAGGGTTCTGTGTCAATTTTTTTCCATGGAAAAAGTACAGTGAGAGATGTGTGTGCATACTTATTCTATAGATAAAATGCTGTGAGATTTTTAACTTCTGTATGAATATTTATTCTATGAATAAAATGTACTGAGAGTTTTAACTTCTGTTTGAATATTTATTCTATGAATAAAATGTAGTGAGAGTTTTAACTTCTGTATGCATATTTATTGTATGAATCTGCAGCTATAGAGTTCAAAATATATTTAGTCTATAGATAAACTGCAGCGAGAGTTCTGTATGATTATTCATTCTTTGGATAAGCTGCAATAAGAGTTCTGTTTGAATATTTATTCTATGGATAAACTACAGCAAGAGTTCAAAATATATTTATTCTGAGGATACATCTTTAAAATATTTGCCTACGTACGTTAATCACATGACAGACAGGATTCTTGAATTCCTTTCTATTGCTCTGACGACTTGTTCAATCCAAATATATCATGCACGGGTCTTAAGTCATAGAGTAATCAGGAAACAGATTATCTTATTCAATCCAAATATACACGGGTCTTAAGTCATAGAGTAATCAGGAAACAGATTATCTTATTCAATCCAAATATACCATGCACGGGTCTTAAGTCATAGAGTAATCAGGAAACAGATTATCTTATTTTTATATTGGCTGAAACAGTACAATTCTATGATCGTACTTCATGTGCTGTATAACCTTGGAACATATGTGTACAGTTAGGAGGCTCTGAGCCCGAAATTTAAAAGAGTTTCGTTAAACGAAACTCTTGAGTTTCCTTTTTGGGTCTTATAACATTTGTGTAGATTTTGATTAAGAGATTCGAAAAAAATGGAGAATATGAATAAACTAAATTAAATAATATTTCAAAACAATAATATTGATATTCACAAAACTGCCTAACCCATGTATGAAACCCGAGTTCTAAAACTGGTTTTCACAATTATACCTTGTCTTAAGTTTTGGGCTCTGGCTACTATGTACAAACCATTATAAAATTAACGTTTTCGTTCCAAACTTTTAATATTGTTGGGTAATATCAAATATGTCTGATACGGTTTTTACCATTTGTGAACTTTCTCTGTTGCCGGGTGTAAAAGATTGAGGGGGGGGGGAGTTAAGAGTGTATGTGGGGAGGGATGGGGAGGGGGATTGCAAGGTGAAAGGAGGATGATATACATTCAGTCCTCTCCTATTTCCCTCTCAAGAGACTCAACAATGTATTCATCTCTTCTTAGCTTTTTTATTTCAGTGAATTTCTTAAAGTTTGCAAGACAAAATTTCTTAAAATGTCTGGAATATAGATACAGGACTATTCAAAGAGTACAGATACAGGACAATACTGGGAGTACAGATACAGGACAATACTGGGAGTACAGATACAGATACAGGTACAGGACAATACAGAGAGTACAGATACAGATACAGGACAATACAGAGAGTACAGGTAAAGATACAGGACAATACAGAGAGTACAGGTACAGATACAGGACAATACAGAGAATACAGATACAGATACAGGACAATAAAGAGAGTACAGATACAGATACAGGTACAGGACAATACAGAGAGTACAGATACAGATACAGATCCAGATACAGGAAAATACAGAGACATTACAGAGAGTACAGATATACTAACAGGACTATACACTATACAGAGAGTACAGATACAGGACTACACAGAAAGTACAGATACGGATACAGGACACAAGTATGAAATAGAACATAATTCACAGTCTTTTAACCGAGACTACAGACAGGGGTTAGGGGAATACAAAGGAGACAAAGTTGGTAAATAAGTTTTTTATTAAATTTAGGACTAAATAGAGTTAGATTTAAAAACATTAAGTGCGTTATCAAAATATTTATTTATAGTTACATATAGATAAGAATATAGATAGATAAGTTGTTACCAAAAACTTGATATCTCAAAGTTTAAAAATGAGATAAGAAAATCAAGCTTCTATAAATCATCAGTTTTATTTGTGTAAGCAGCAATTAATATTTGCTTAAAGGGATTCGTTGCTAGTTACGTTTCGTTTAAGTTTTTTGAAAAGTTTAAACAATATTTTCTAATTAAAGCAAATAGTTAGTTTTGTTTTACTCTTTAAAACTTATTATTTACTCAACTGTGGTTATCTAATAAAAAATTGACATCTCATCACATTAACTTAAAGCTTTATATAATGATAGTGATTATATGTAAACATGAAAAGGAAACTATTAGTCCTGTATAAGATAAGAAGCTTAAAGATTGCAATACTAATAATATTTTCAACATTAGGCTTTAAGGGAGTCTCGCGCCCATCTATACTATTTAAATATTTAGTTGGGGCTTTGTGCATTCTAAAACAATAACAAAAAAGTTCGCGGATATAATAATATTTGTTCAAGGATTTTCAATAAGTTATACATATTTAGCCTTTTTGATATTCAATTAGATTTTGCGTTAGAATCAGCTTATTGTGGTCTTCAGTGCGCTATTTTTGTAAAAATGATTGTTTTTTTAAACTTTACATTGTAAACCATAATTCAATACATATCTTTTACTTTATATCAAACAGGAATAATCAAAAATATTATTTTTGGACCCAATTTGATTGAATTTTTTTACTATTTATTATTCTCACCAACCGCAGTAAAGATTTCTTTTAAAATTAACAGTTTAAAACTGCAATTTTCGATCATATTTTCGGCCAGTAAAAAAATGGGAAATATTGCACCATGTTTTGGCTTATCTTGACTCTTGAGTTTGATTTAATTTTAAGAAGAAGCCTACGTCACAACTAAAGTAAATGGCATGTTACAAAGGATTTGAGTCTTTGCCACAAACTCCGATTTTCTAATCCCTATATGTTTTGAATCCAATGTTTCAAACTATGAATTATGTTAGATCAAAAATCCATGTTTGAAATATCAAAGGGTTACATCATTAGGTCACAGAGATAAAGTGGCAAAAATACTGTTCCTTTTATATAGATCTTTTTCAAAGAAAAAAATAATTTCAACTATTAATCCTCTTAAATCATATAGTCTATGTTTGAAATATCAAAGGGTTACACCCTTCGGTCGCAGAGATAAAGGGATTAGAAAATTCGAGTTTGTGGCAAAAACACTGTTCCTTTTATATAGATCTTTTTAAAAGAAAAAAAAAATAATTTCAAACTATAAATCCTGTTAAATCAAATAGTCTGTATTTGAAATATAAAAGCTTTACACCATTAAGTTGCAAAGATATTGGGATTAGAAATTAAGTTTATGGCAAAGATTTGTATTCTCTTCTTTTCTCACATTCCAGCGCTAGATTATAATCTAGAAATGGTACAAGACGACAGCGCGCATCGTAAACCAGTATTTCCCAAAT